TACTACTACTACTACTACTACTACTACTACTACTACTACTACTACTACTACTACTACTACTACTACTACTACTACTACTACTACTACTACTACTACTACTACTACTACTACTACTACTACTACTACTACTACTACTACTACTACTACTACTACTACTACTACTACTACTACTACTACTACTACTACTACTACTACTGATGCTGCTGATGCTGTTGTTACTACTGCTACTACTACTGCTAAGATGATCCTTTGCATCAACCGGACATGGACAGATTGCGGTGGGGGAGTGGTGGGTGGTGGGGGAGGGTGGGGGAGTGGAAAGAGATACACGAGGAGGAGGAAGGCCGAGGAAGGAAGAGGAGAAAGGAGGAGGGGAGGAATAATCCATGGGTTCCCCACGTGCCGCATCTGTTCACTATCACTATGGTTACTAACTGTGTGCGGGGCAGACGCCTAATGGGCACCAGCGGCGCACGCAGACGCGGCACACGCGCGTTGCTACGAGAAAACGCGAAAACCTGAAAAACAAGCGAATATCACAACGTTCGCGGTCGTTAGATGCCAGCCCGCCAGGGCGAGCAGCATGCGGCGATCGTCGCGCCACCTGGTGACGCGCGCCGCGGGGTTAGATATCACGGTGTCGTTCGTCGTTAAAAACGCGCCGACTTTCAAGGTCAAGGTCATGCAAGCAAATTAATGGGTTTAGAGATCGCAGCGACCTCTGGGGTCAAAGATCGCAGCGACCTCTAGTGGGTAGCGAGGGGAAACACAATGCTGGTTAGAGCGAATGAATGCGATTAGCAAACGTTAAAATTGTAACACGAGCTGTTAAATATCGAGAATAACGCACGCACGCACGCACACACGCACGCACACACACGCACGCACGCACACGCGCGCACGTACACGCACGCACACACGCGGGGCAGCAAACCTGTGGTTACACAACCGCGAGTTGCGATTCGCAATAGATGCATGAAGAACGAACGACAGTAAAATACGGAGTAAAATAGAGTTTATAATATAGTAACTTTATACGTATACTTATATAAATATATCTATATATATACATATATAGATACTATCTATCTATCTATCTATCTATCTATCTATAATATATATATATATATGAAGTTGACTATAAACGCATATAATTGACTACAGATGCGTAAGAGTGCATACTGACCGATGTTCCCCTCAGTCCTGGGTAGCCTCTTGGTCCCTATGGAAACGTGTACACACGGTTACGATGACGTCATCAACGCGTCACACCAGCACGCCCGCCGTCTCACACCTCAGCCTCCGCATCCGCAAACACTCATCGCACCGCCCGATCACCATAGCAACAGCAAACCACGTGATTGCTGCAGTTGTCGCATCACACCAGGCCAACGACCAGCTATATATATATATATATATATATGTATTGATATATATATATATAGATAGATAGATAGAGAGGAGAAGAGTGTTGGGAAGGTATTGTGCATGTACTTAAAGAGCCAAAGTCAACCAAAATCCATCTCGCAAAAACTACAAAAAACATTCTACAAACGACAGGTGCAAACGACACGTAAAAAAATAATATATATCCGAGAAAAATCTACGTGCAAGAAATGAGTGAGGTTTGTTATCATATAGTGCTGACCGATATCTGTCTAATCACGCATACACCAGGAGACCGGTTTCAAATACACAAATAGTTATGACGTCATAGCCATATGACGTCATGTTTTTTTTGCATACAAACTTTTTTCAAGCGTGTTGCATGCGTCTAAACTGGAGCAGCCAATCACAAAGCTTCCGCACGACTGGCTTAGCCTATCACGAGCATTCCACGTGACTACACTAGCTAATCAAGAGTGTTCCACATGGCAGAGCTGGATCAGCCAATCAGCAAGTTTCTACGTGATTAGACAGTCATTCGGGGTTTTATTAAAAAAAAAAAAAAGTAGCCAATCAGACGTCTACGTGGCTGGACGAGCCAATCATGAAGATTGTAGTGCTGAAATAAACAAGTGAACAGATGAAAAGTGCTGCAGAAACAACCGATCCAGGGAAAGAGAGAGAGAGAGAGACTATTGTGTCATGAAGCGAGCATATCTACTGGCCTACCCTAATCACTCTTCTACTGCCACCCCTACACTCACCACGTCCTAGCCTCTTTTCTCACCTTCTGTTCTAACTCTTTCTCTACTCCATCCATTGCCTACACTATACACATACCCCTCCGTTTTCGTCTATAATGTCATTGATACCACTTCCAGATCCTTCACTGCTCCAGTCATGCCTCTAATGTTATCCCTACAACTTTTTAACCTTTTCTCTTTCTAATGCTACCCCTACCCCCTCCCCAATCATCAATCCCTACGTTCAATCTATTATAACCTCTCTCTCCCTCTTTCTCCATGAATCGATGGTATATGGTAGAATGTGCCGTGAAACACTACGTGAAAGACAGTGTGTGCGGGGCGTGGGTGCGCAGTACACATATACAGACAGAGAGAGCGAGGGCGAAAGCGAGAGAGAGAGAGGTGAGAGAGCGAGAGAGCGAGAAAGAGAGAGAGAGAGAAAGAGAGAGAGAGAGAGAGAGAGAGAGAGAGAGAGAGAGAGAGAGTGAGAGAGAGAGAGCGAGGTGAGAGAGGGTGCCGGAGGAAAGAGAAAAGACGC